AAAAAAGGTTCCTAAATTCCATGTTAAGTTCGGCCCCTCTGGTGCTTTTCACTCAATCATTGTCAAGTTTGAAATCGTCTTCTCTCCCCTAACTTCCAGAGATGGATCTGATGAGCCGCAGGAACCGACACATGAGCTCTTTGCAGGAGGAGAAGAGAGTGCTGCTGCTCAAAGTGCAGAGCCTGGAAAATGTTCAGAAAGGTGAACGCTGAAAGGTTATTATTGTGTTGGAGGATGTGGTTCTGAAAGGAAAAGAGAGAGATTTAAACTGCTGCACTTTTCACCCCAGCAACTGACAAGCTGACAGGTTTATTTGTCTGCAACACGCTTTACAAGCCCCTTTGTTTGTTTCATTCACTCAGGTTTTTCTGTTTGACAGAAATCAGAGCTCGACGCAAAAGGAGTAAGCCAGAAAAACAGCAGCAAAGTCAGCCATACAGTTGTAGGCAGTTGTACCGTATCTTTAGAGCAGATTGAGAACATTAATATGTTTCTGGCTCTATGGGCGGCTTTAATCTATATTAAAGGAGCGTTACTCACATATAGAGTATGCATTCTCAGCTGGAAGCTATCAATGTTCCAGAGAAGTGATTTTTGTGTATGATTTATTATTATTATTAAAGGGGCCGTATTATGTCTTTTTGAGGCTGTCCCTTTCCTGTAGTGTGTTCTATCGGTTTTTGTGCATGTAAATTGTCTGCAAAGGCTAAAATCCCAAAGTTAACATCTCTAAGTGGTTGACCAATCACAACAGAGCCAGCCAGCTAACCAATCAGAGCAGACTGGGCTCTGGTTTCAGACAGAGGGTGAAAAGAGGTGCTGCAGCACAGACAGTATGAGAAGAATAAAGAGCTTTTTGAACATTGAAGCATGGAGACATGTAGAGACACTACATACTGATATACACCTGAACATCAGCAGGAGAGGACTCTTTAAAGTAGAGACACTACATACTGATATACACCTGAACATCAGCAGGAGAGGACTCTTTAAAGTAGAGACACTACATACTGATATACACCTGAACATCAGCAGGAGAGGACTCTTTAAAGTAGAGACACTACATACTGATATACACCTGAACATCAGCAGGAGAGGACTCTTTAAAGTAAAGACACTACATACTGATATACACCTGAACATCAGCAGGAGAGGACTCTTTAAGTAGAGACACTACATACTGATATACACCTGAACATCAGCAGGAGAGGACTCTTTAAAGTAGAGACACTACATACTGATATACACCTGAACATCAGCAGGAGAGGACTCTTTAAAGTAGAGACACTACATACTGATATACACCTGAACATCAGCAGGAGAGGACTCTTTAAAGTAGAGACACTACATACTGATATACACCTGAAGATCAGCAGGAGAGGACTCTTTAAAGTAGAGACACTACATACTGATATACACCTGAACATCAGCAGGAGAGGACTCTTTAAAGTAAAGACACTACATACTGATATACACCTGAACATCAGCAGGAGAGGACTCTTTAAAGTAGAGACACTACATACTGATAAACACCTGAACATCAGCAGGAGAGGACTCTTTAAAGTAGAGACACTACATACTGATATACACCTGAACATCAGCAGGAGAGGACTCTTTAAAGTAGAGACACTACATACTGATATACACCTGAACATCAGCAGGAGAGGACTCTTTAAAGTAGAGACACTACATACTGATATACACCTGAACATCAGCAGGAGAGGACTCTTTAAAGTAGAGATACTACATACTGATATACACCTGAACATCAGCAGGAGAGGACTCTTTAAAGTAGAGACACTACATACTGATATACACCTGAACATCAGCAGGAGAGGACTCTTTAAAGTAGAGACACTACATACTGATATACACCTGAACATCAGCAGGAGAGGACTCTTTAAAGTAGAGACACTACATACTGATATACACCTGAACATCAGCAGGAGAGGACTCTTTAAAGTAGAGATACTACATACTGATATACACCTGAACATCAGCAGGAGAGGACTCTTTAAAGTAGAGACACTACATACTGATATACACCTGAACATCAGCAGGGGAGGACTCTTTAAAGTAGAGACACTACATACTGATATACACCTGAACATCAGCAGGGGAGGACTCTTTAAAGTAGAGACACTACATACTGATATACACCTGAACATCAGCAGGGGAGGACTCTTTAAAGTAGAGACACTACATACTGATATACACCTGAACATCAGCAGGAGAGGACTCTTTAAAGTAGAGACACTACATACTGATATACACCTGAACATCAGCAGGAGAGGACTCTTTAAAGTAGAGACACTACATACTGATATACACCTGAACATCAGCAGGAGAGGACTCTTTAAAGTAGAGACACTACATACTGATATACACCTGAACATCAGCAGGGGAGGACTCTTTAAAGTAGAGACACTACATACTGATATACACCTGAACATCAGCAGGGGAGGACTCTTTAAAGTAGAGACACTACATACTGATATACACCTGAACATCAGCAGGGGAGGACTCTTTAAAGTAGAGACACTACATACTGATATACACCTGAACATCAGCAGGAGAGGACTCTTTAAAGTAGAGACACTACATACTGATATACACCTGAACATCAGCAGGAGAGGACTCTTTAAAGTAGAGACACTACATACTGATATACACCTGAACATCAGCAGGAGAGGACTCTTTAAAGTAGAGACACTACATACTGATAAACACCTGATAAAGACCATATATCCTCTTTTCCTGCAGAGCTGGACCTCCAGCTGAGTGAAGCTGAAGCGATGACGGAGTCTCTGAGAGCCGAGGGTCTGTTTGTCAGTCAGAAGCCTCTCACTGACAGCACCTGTCTCAGGTGAGTTGCATCCATTATGTCAAAGAAAAATAATCCATATGAGACTCAAACGAGTGAACAGCTCTAGGGAAATGAAAATGAAACACTGAGGATTAAAATGGAACAAAACAAAATGTAAACACAGCAGTACGCCGTTTAGCATCTCATCCAAAAATGTAATTCACAGGGGCTTCCGGATATTTAAAATATTCCTGGCTGAGCAGATGGGATGTTTAATTAGTTTTAGAGGCCTGTCTGTACACAACAACTGAAATCCTCTTCTCACAAGGGTTTCTTTAACATCACTGACTGAAATGAAGTATACGCACTATTAGAGCCTGCTGGCTCTCACGGAACCGACTCACTCCCCTTGTGTGTAAGCACAGCTCTCAACGTGCCCAGACTTGGAGTGATTTTCACCTCTTTTAATACTTTCCGCCTCGTTCTGAAAGAAAGAAGTGAAATGTTTCAACGTGACGGCCGTCTTGGTGTGTGGTGCGAGACGGGAGATGTAGTTCATTGAGCGTTACTTCAGTTTTACGACACATTTAAATACTTTTGACTTGCAAAATTATCATTTAAATAAAAAGATAATCTTTCTCTCCCCATTGATCCAAAAATAAGGTCCCATGGAGCTCCAGAAAGGAAAGGGAGGGACTTCGCCTCTCTATAATGTTAAAAAGTAATCTACTTTTTCTTTAATGAATTTTTTAAGAATTCTTTTTTTTACGATTTTAGTGCCTTTATTCCGGAGAGGGTGTTAAATTGAGAGATAGAGGGAAAGACATTGCCTGAAAACTTCGGCGGGCTCGGGTTTCGAACCCACCTACTAGCTACTGCAGTGACAACTCCTGTCATTGATTGCATCTCTGCGTGAATGATTCGATCATTTCACCTAATTTCCGGGAATTTTCAAAGATGGAAACTTTCAATGGGAATTAACGGGAATTTATGGGAATAAACTGGGAATTTTGTAAATTGAAGGTTGGCTCTTGATAAGGAATTTATAGATATATTTTTTAATCTGTTGAAATGTCATGTTTTTTTGTTTAATTTTGCATAGAATATTTCCGAAATTCCCCAGCTTAACTTCCCATGGAAACTTTCCGGAAATGTACCGGAAATGTTCCGCCCCTTTGCAACCCTATTCACATGTACGCCTCCTGAGTTCTGAACATGCCATTTAGATCTATAAAGGCCTTGGGTCTATGTTGTTTGGTTTCATTAAACACAATAAATGCGCTCCACTGTGCTGTTGTAGTATTTACTGTATCTGAAGCTCTTAATATGATTGCTCATATTTCAAGCCATCTTTTTCCCGGCCCCTTGCTTTGGATCATTTTCATCAACCGGCCCCATTCCAAACTAATTGAATAGCCCTGATCCAAACCATCGGAGGCTAAGCAACTCTTCAAACTGTAAGTAATACAAAGGAAAGGAAAAGAGTTAAAACATGTCCGTTTAAGGCGTCTAATGGCTTGATAGATAAACAAGGAAGGAAGCCACGACGACACGCACTTTTAGCTGAAGCCACAGCTGTGTGATGCTCAAAACACTTGCAAAGGACCAGAGGAGAATCAGTGTTACCGACACAGCAGTCTGCGCGCTCATTAGATAGGTGTTATTTACTAAGAGCTAACCCGAGTCAGACTGAGAGAAAGTGCTGAATGGAGCGGCTCTGCTGTGGTCCTCGCGCTGGCTGCTGTCCAACTGGAAGTGTAAATAACAGCATTAAGACCATTTGGCTTGATTAAGGCTTTGATGTGTAATGTGTTTCATTCAAGTGGGAAGACATAAACAGACGGATGTGATGGATGGAGGGAGGAGAAAGGAATGAGCGGCAGAGAGTTGAGCTTTTAGATTGAAATCATTCATTTCCCCCCCGGATTAATAAAGTATGCTGATTGATTGATTTCAAATATTCAGATGCGTGGAAGTCACAATATTCAAAAGTGCTGCAACTAACAAAATGTTTTTTTGTTTACCAAATGATTTTGTCTATTACTTTTTGGAATCATTCCCGAATATATATATTTTTTAAATCCTGAGGAAATGTGGTTTTGTTACAGTTGCCTCACTTTCGAATATCTGTCCTTAGACCCTCTGTCCTTAGACCCTCTGTCCTTAGACCCTCTGTCCTTTGACCCTCTGTCCTTAGACCCTCTGTCCTTAGACCCTCTGTCCTTTGACCCTCTGTCCTTAGACCCTCTGTCCTTTGACCCTCTGTCCTTTGACCCTCTGTCCTTTGACCCTCTGTCCTTAGACCCTCTGTCCTTAGACCCTCTGTCCTTTGACCCTCTGTCCTTAGACCCTCTGTCCTTAGACCCTCTGTCCTTAGACCCTCTGTCCTTTAACCCTCTGTCCTTAGACCCTCTGTCCTTTGACCCTCTGTCCTTAGACCCTCTGTCCTTAGACCCTCTGTCCTTATACCCTCTGTCCTTTGACCCTCTGTCCTTAGACCCTCTGTCCTTAGACCCTCTGTCCTTAGACCCTCACATCGTACAAGGAAACACTTCCAGAGAAAACCCACAGTTTAAAGGGAACATGGGAGAAACCTCAGGGAGAGCAACAGAGGAGGGATCCCTCTCCCAGGACGGACAGACGTGCAATAGATGCCGTGTGTAAATCAAAGAGATAATACATTTGCAACATAGGTAGTCCAGATGTTTGCAATGCATGTGTCTGTAATAAGAAGATGAATCCACGAGGATGTCAGCTACAATCCTGTGGAGCCATCAGGGAAGCAGCATGACGAGAGTCAGGCAGGACCGCAGAGACAGGTTCAGCCACGACTCGAAGTCCAGGACTCAGATCCAGAACTCAGGATAGATATAATATGAATACAAATATTGAAATAACTAAGTATAATTACAAATGTCCAATAAAGATAATTTTTTTTTGACTTAATTAAGGCTTTGATGTGTAATGCGTTTCATTCAGTCAACAAGTGGGAAGACATAAACACAGACTAATGTGATTGGTGAAGGGAGGAGAAAGGAATGAGGGGCAGAGGGTTGAGCTTTTATATTCACATATATATTATATTATATGCATATTGTTTCATGAGATCTTTTGATATTGCACGAGTTGTATTTCCTGGTTTTATTGGCTTTGCATATGACCCTGTGATATTGCGACAATCCAGCTGTTGTGCAGAGTCTCTTAGCATTTCATTTATTTATTCACAAGGCACCAAAATAAGCTATAGGAAGCTAGAGACAATAAAAAGACAAGTGTTGCTTGAGGCGCTTTTTAACGACAGACAAATACATTTCTTAGCCTGATTAAAATAATTCTCATACTCCTAAAACCTTTCTGTTAACCCCTCCTAATATATATATATTGCGTCCTTGGGCAAGACACTTCACCTGAACTTGCTCCTGTGGGTATTGTCCACAGTGGTGACCATTGCATGTATGATATGTGTAATGTGTATTTGTAAAGCGCTTTGAGCATCTGGAAAAGCGCTATAATAAATGTATGGAATTATTATATGCACTAATTCATTCTGGTTATTTGTCAAACGATCAGTATCTGTGGAGAAGAGCAGCTTACAGCATATTTTTCACATTATTTAGTCACAAATCCTGACGGTTTGAGTTGAAACTAGTTTATTAAATGGCTGTAAATCTATTTTCGAAGCTGCAACTAAGACTGTTGCGAGCGAACGCTGATTTCTAAGCAATTTAGAAATTAAGGTCAATATAATTACCTTTTCAACCTTTGTGTGCAAAAACTGAACTTGTAAAGGCACGTGTCTGCTCATCACAGTGGACTATTAACTAATGGTAGAATATGAATGAAGGATGTCCAACGTGTTTCTCCACAAAGAGACTTCCTTTATTTAATGAAAGACCGGAGATCAATAGTGTTCCAGGAAGGAAGGGTCATTGTTATTACTGATGCCTCTACTTTGGATAATGTCTTCTATTCAATACCAGAAGATAAGTGATTAACATTCCCCAAACCTGATGAGGTTTAGACAGCTAGTTTTTAAAGAGTCCTCCTGCTGATGTTCAGGTGTATATCAGTATGTAGTGTCTCTACTTTAAAGAGTCCTCTCCTGTTGATGTTCAGGTGTATATCAGTATGTAGTGTCTCTACTTTAAAGAGTCCTCTCCTGCTGATGTTCAGGTGTATATCAGTATGTAGTGTATCTACTTTAAAGAGTCCTCTCTTGCTGATGTTCAGGTGTATATCAGTATGTAGTGTCTCTACTTTAAAGAGTCCTCTCCTGCTGTTGTTCAGGTGTATATCAGTATGTAGTGTCTCTACTTTAAAGAGTCCTCTCCTGCTGATGTTCAGGTGTATATCAGTAGGTAGTGTCTCTACTTTAAAGAGTCCTCTCTTGCTGATGTTCAGGTGTATATCAGTATGTAGTGTCTCTACTTTAAAGAGTCCTCTCCTGCTGTTGTTCAGGTGTATATCAGTATGTAGTGTCTCTACTTTAAAGAGTCCTCTCCTGCTGATGTTCAGGTGTATATCAGTAGGTAGTGTCTCTACTTTAAAGAGTCCTCTCTTGCTGATGTTCAGGTGTATATCAGTATGTAGTGTCTCTACTTTAAAGAGTCCTCTCCTGCTGATATTCAGGTGTATATCAGTATGTATTGTCTCTACTTTAAAGAGTCCTCTCTTGCTGATGTTCAGGTATATATCAGTATGTAGTGTCTCTACTTTAAAGAGTCCTCTCCTGCTGTTGTTCAGGTGTATATCAGTATGTAGTGTCTCTACTTTAAAGAGTCCTCTCATGCTGATGTTCAGGTGTATATCAGTAGGTAGTGTCTCTACTTTAAAGAGTCCTCTCCTGCTGTTGTTCAGGTGTATATCAGTATGTAGTGTCTCTACTTTAAAGAGTCCTCTCCTGCTGATGTTCAGGTGTATATCAGTAGGTAGTGTCTCTACTTTAAAGAGTCCTCTCCTGCTGATGTTCAGGTGTATATCAGTATGTAGTGTCTCTACTTTAAAGAGTCCTCTCCTGCTGATGTTCAGGTGTATATCAGTATGTAGTGTCTCTACTTTAA